TCCTCCACACTGTGATCTCTACTCCATCCTTCTATTTCTCTGGTAACCTGAATTCTACAGATTTCTAGTGTTACTGGATTAGTTTTGATTGATCCTTTGTTTTGTTACTTTGCAAGCCACATATCAATGAAATCACCAGCTATTTGTCTTCTTCCTTCTGACTTAATTGTAGTCCCATGTTGTTGCAAATGGCAAGAGTTTATCTTTTATTTTTTTATTGCCAAGTAATGTTCCATTATATACATATACCACATCTTTTTTAATCCACCCATCCATCCTTGGATACTTGTTTTCCTCACTTGGCAATTGTAAATACTGTTGTGTGTCAATGATCATAGGTGTGCATACATCCCTTCTGTTACTGTCTGTGCATTCTAGAGACTTGCTAGATTGTATGATGGATTTCATCATTCTTCATTTTGTTCATTTTTCCATCTCAGTTGTAATCTCAACAAAATCTTAGCCAACAGAATTCAACAATGCATTAAAAGAATAATACACCATGACCAAGTGAGTTTTATCCCAGGGGCACAAGGATAGTTCAACATCTGAAAATCAATCAGCATACTCCCTCACAACAACCAAAAGAAAAATAAAAAACATATAATCATACCAATAGATGCAGAGAAGGTATTCGACAAAGTTCAACTACCATTTATGTTTAAAGCCCTTGAAATCCTCGAAGTAGAAGGAACATACCTTAACATGGTAATAGCCAAATATGATAAACTCACAGCCAATATTATCCTCAGTGGAGTAAAGCTGAAGTCTTTCATTTAAGATCAGGAACAAGACAAGGATTTCTACTATAGCCACTGCTTTTCAACATAACATTCGAAGTGCTAGCATTGGAAGACAGGAAAAAGACATACAAGGAGTCCAAACAGGGAAAGAAGAAGTAAAACTATCTTTATTTGTAGATGATATGATAATTTACATGAACCTGAAAAACTCCATAGAGAAACCAATTAAAACAATTAACCAGTTTAGGAAGGTAGCAGGATATAAAATCAACACACAAAAGTCAGTGGCCTTCCTACACACAAACAACCAATCAGAAGAAGTGGGAATAAAAAAAAATCCCTTTTATAATTGAAACAAAAAGAGCCAAATACCTGGGAATAAACCTAACAAAAGAGGTAAAAGACCTATACAAAGAAAGTTATAAAACACTGTTAAAAGAAATACAAGAAGACACAAAGAAATGAAAAGACATCCCCAGCTCATGGATCTGGAGAATCAACATCATTAAAATGGCCATCCTACCAAAAGCGATATACAGATTTAATGCTATTCCAAATAAGTCTCATAGACATTCTTCAAAGAAATAGAACAAATATTGATGATATATGGAACTACAAAAACCTTGAATTGCTAAAACTCTCCTGATTCTTTTATTTTTAACATTCTAAAAATGTCTGTAATGTTTTCCATAAAGGGTGTGACAGTTTGCATTCCCAACAACTGTGTACACTGGTTACTTTTTCTACCCTATATCCTTGACAATACTTGGTTCTGTACTTTTTGATATGAGCTATAGTCACAAGTTTGAGAAAATATCTAATTGCATTTCCCTGATGATAAGAGATGATGAACATTTTTGCACGCACCTGTTACCCTCTGTACGTGTACTTTGGAGAAGTGTCTATTTAGTTCTACTGTGATTTTTTAATTACATTGTTTAATTATGTTGTTTTTTCTCTTTGCCAAGTTGAGTGAGTTCCTTATGATCTTGGATATCAGGCCTTTCTCAATTGTGCTGTATGCAAACATTTTCTACCATTCAGTAGGATGCCTTTTCATTTTGATAGTTTCTTTCACTGTGAAGAAGCTTTTTAGTTTTAGTGACCCAATTGTTTACATTCTCTTGTTCCTCTTGCTGTTGGAGATAAATCCACAAAGACAGGCCCTCCCTGGTGGCGCAGTGGGTTAAAGCACAGCACTAAGAAGCTAAAGCCACTGCAGCATGAGTTCGATCCCTGCCTGTCCCGGAGGTGACCACATGGCGTGGCAGACCTCTCCTGACCCGCCCGCTGCTCCCCTCAGCAGTGTACTTCGTCGATCTGTCTGTTCTGCTCCCCACTCTGTCTCTGGTGAAGCCTGTTGATGCCCCTGAGCCTCTGGCCTGTACCCCAGTTCTGTATGCACAAATAAATAAATCCTTAAAAAAAAAAATCCACAAAGACATATTTGAAGACAGTGTGGTAGAGTACTTGCCTGTATTTTCTTCTAGGATTTTTATGATTTAAGATTTTATACCCAACTCTTTAACCCATTTCATGTGAATTTTTTATATTGTGTGAGAATGTAATCTCATTTCATTCTTTTGCATGCGAATGTCCATCTGTAAAAAAGACTTTCTCCTGTCTATATCCTTGGCTCCTTTGTCACAGATTAACTATCCATACTGATGTGAGTTAATGTCTGGACACTCAATTCTATTTCATCATCAGTTTGTGTATCTGTTCCTGGTCCAGTACCATTCTGTTTTGATTACTATAGTTTTATAGCTTTGTATCTTTGAGAGCTTAAGCTGAATGAGAAAAACCATTTTACAAACTACACAGAATGTGATAAGGACAACACATTCTTTATAATATAAAATCTGTCTACACATAGCAGTTAGTTGCAAAAAGCCATTTGTTGTTCTCTTGGTTTGTAAAAATGGTGATCCAGATTTCAGTGTTAAATAGTCACCTTCAAAGCTTCTGTGTGGTAGATGTCTTCTTTCCACCTTCTAGCTCTTCTGCCTCAACCTGTGACATGGTGTCTGCTGTGTTTTTCTCTAGATCATCAATATGGCTACTAATCACATCACCTCTTTCAAAGATCTGGTTGAACATGGTATGAAATTCATCTTTCATCTGATGTAAGAAACTGTACCTCTGAAGTCCATTCCTAAGGGGACCAAAGGACGGGCCAAGTAGAAAAAATGGCCAATTTTGATTACAAAATATATCATAGAAACTTACAATGGGTAATAATTACCTTGTTATTATTCAATAAATAGCTATTTCACAGAAGTTACTTGCATTTTTTATTTTATTAATCACAGTCACATTGCTGGTACCTTATCCAATGAGATCTCCTTATACCTATTTCACTTAGTAGTCCCTTGCTTTATATTTCTCCCTTTGCCAGATATATGGATAAATTCTTACAAAATGCAATTTTCAATCATTGTAAACTTCAATACTACAATGCTTTTTTGTTTTCTTGTACACTAAGTTGTATTTTAGATTAGTATTTTTGTTCTTCCAACCCACTAACTGCAAATAGGTTATACTGCTTAATTCCCCACATGCAATTTTCCCCCACCAATCAGAATTTGTTTTCATTCAGTCATGTTCATAACTTTTTTCATGAATAAGCTCTTTCTTGATTTATTAAGTATAATAATACTTAATTATAATAATTATACTTATGTAATTATTAGTATAATTATAAGTATAATAATTATACTTAAAACTTAAGTATAATAATACTTAATAATTAATGATGTATAATAATACATAATTTTTTATCCAGAATTAGACTTATTTTGCTGAAGTTTTTCACTAACTTTTATTATGGGTATTATTTATATATATTTTTAGTGTTCAATATCTCCCAAGAATCTTAAATCACTTGAAGCAGAAGTGACTGTTTTTCTATTTTACTAGCCACTGCCTCTGGAATAGGTTAGGTGAACAAGAGTGCTTCCTAAAATTCACTGACTTGTTATTTCCTGTTACTTCTTAAATGACTTTCCCAACATCTATTCCCTGAATCACTCAGGTCTAGGTGAAACAATCACTGCAAATTCTCCTAAGACTCTTGAATTATTTTCCTATTGTGAAACAAATAATGCCATCTTTGTTGTTTAATAAATCCCATTGCAAGATGACTTCTGGTCAATTCCCAGGTCCCCACAACATCCATTTTATCTACAGCTGCTAAATAACTAATGATTCTACTAGGTCACTGATTTATATTTAAAATTACCTCATGCATTGTCTGTTAGAAACTGCTTAACACTGAATAATCTAATACCTGATTCTCCTGTAGATCTGGTAAGTGATTTCTACTGAAAGACTTGACATATCCACTGATTTTACTTCCACCTCCTAATCCCTATTTCCATGGAGCTGGAATCAGTACTTTATGTATTGATATAGAGGAAAGAGAATTCAAACAGAGATGGGGTTAAAGAGATTTATCTTTGTTCTCATTCCTTAACAGTGATGTGACATGTATAAAAGGTGACAAAGGTTAAGATTTTAAGTGCTAAATATTTGTGAGAGGAACAGAATCATATTTTAACAAGGGATAAAAGAAGTATTTTTCTCTGCGTATGAATATACTTTATTAAAACTAATAATAAATTAGTCTCCCATTCGATAAATAACAGCAAAACTAATTTTCTCTCTATTTGATGGATTTCAGTGAGATGATTTTTATGTCTGAATATGTAAAAAAAACCTCCTCTGAGTATTTAAAAGTTCTTCAATGTTTTATTGAAGCCTCTTTATAATGATGCCTTTGTATAAGAATGAAGAATTCTTAAGAATTATATTTTTTTTAAATGTTATTTCAGTAAGGATATCCTAATGGGTAAATTAAATGACTAAATGTGTGTTTATGAGTGTAGTGTATGTTTGTTTAGCACATTATCTTAGTGTTTAGTGTTAGCTATAAATGGATAGATGTACAAATGTGTAGATAAGATCTATTTAGTACGATATAATCTCAAATCGACTGCTATTTAGTATCAGAAAGGAAAGTGTTATTTTAACATCTATGATTTGAGTGATATTTCACTATCATTGTTACTATCCTATACTTATCTTTCTAGTCCATATAACAAATAATGATAGAAAGAACAGCAAAGGTAAGTTTTCATAGAGGAAACGAAATCTGTAAAAATAGACTTTTAGAAGTGGATCGTTTGTCTCACTAGGATTATACTTTGTCTTGATACGGTTTTTCTCCACACAGGTTTCTACGTGTCAATCAGAACAATGGGTGCCATCAATAATTCCACTGTTACTGAATTTGTTTTGCTGGGACTCTCGAATTCCTGGGAAGTACAGATGTTTTTATTCATAGTGTTCTCATTGTTTTATGTGGCAACAGTCATAGGCAATAGCCTCATAGTCATCACAGTTATAGCTGATTCTCACTTACACTCTCCTATGTATTTCCTGCTCACCAACCTTTCTATTATTGATATGTCTCTTGCTTCCTTTGCCACCCCAAAGATGATTATAGACTACCTCACTGGACACAGAGCCATCTCCTTTGATGGATGTATTACCCAGATATTTTTTCTACACCTTTTTACTGGTACTGAGATAATATTACTTATGGCTATGTCCTTTGATAGGTATTTAGCAATCTGTAAGCCCCTCCGTTATGCTTCCATCATGAGTCCTCGTGTGTGTCTGGCACTCGTAGTGACTTCCTGGGTTGTGGGCATCATGCATTCAATGAGTCAGGTCATATTTGCTCTCACATTACCATTCTGTGGTCCCAATGAGGTAGACAGCTTTTTCTGTGACCTTCCCGTGGTGTTTCAGCTAGCTTGTATAAATACTTATGTCCTGGGCCTCTTCATGATCTCAACAAGTGGAATTATTGCGTTCTCCTGCTTTCTTCTTCTGTTTAATTCCTATGTTATTGTCCTGATTACTATCAAGCATCATTCTTCAGGAGGATCATCTAAGGCCCTGTCCACCTGCACTGCTCACTTCATTGTTGTATTTATGTTCTTTGGGCCTTGCATTTTCATTTATATGTGGCCACTAAGCAATTTTCTGGTAGACAAGACCCTATCTGTGTTTTATACCATTTTTACCCCCATTCTGAATCCAGTCATCTATACCCTGAGGAATCAAGATGTGAAAACAGCCATAAGAAGACTGAAAAATAGGCTTCTAAATCCCAATAAAGCAACACCTTTACATTACTTTTAGTTTGGCTTCCAGTTCAACTTATTTTTTTCTACTTTTAACTTCCTAAGGATTCAGTGGCAGGAGGCTCTGAGTGTCACAGCTTTGTGTGTAAGTATTGGTTACAATGCTGTACTAGATTTTATTTCTGTACTTCTTATCAAAACATAATTGCTAAAAGTTATTTTAGCAAATGTTAAGTAAGAACAACATAAACTTGTGTGAAAACTAAAGTTTATTATATGTCTAAATGCATCTTAAATTTCAGAAAAACAAGTTGGCAGAAACATTTTCTTCAAGAAGAAAGAATATAAAAATGCTAAGAGTGCATTATGAGTACATGCTGAGGTGTGAGGTCGTACTCCAAAGTTATATAGTTATGTAAAGAATGAAAAAAATCAATAAACTGTGAGGGGGAAAAATGCCAAAAGTGATAGTTTTGGTTAGGAAATTCAATATTAATAATCTATTCATGGAAAAGAGGGGCAAAAAATAAGAGAACTGTAAATTAAAAGAGGACATGTACATACAAAGAACAATTACTTTATTCAGAGTTGTCCCTAAAGTCTAACAAACTATTGATATCTATAAATATAACATTTGGAAAGGTCACACTGCTACAGGAGATAGGCAGTGGTTTTCTACATATATCCTTGAGTCATTTCTACTTAAGAAAACCCTGGATATACTTAATGACAAATATTGATGAGCTACAAAGTCTCCACCACTCACTTTTAAGTAAGAAGCAAACAAATACAGCTACAATAACTTCTTTCAATAATGCATACTGAATAAAGAGGTTTGAGAATTCTGTAAAGCAGGAAATAAATTGAGTTTCAAAGCAATGTGCTTTGTTTCATATAGTCACTTGATCAGTTCAATGCCTTGGCAATTAAAACTAGGACTCAATTAAGAGAGACAGTTGTGATGAGTGAATTTATAGAGGGCCTATGCTTTCATTTAAAAGTATTATATTGGTTTACATTTTGGTTAAGTTACATTTTTCATTTTAATAACTTGGTGAAAAAAAATAACATTTTTTTGCTTAGTATTACAGTCAATGCATTAACGATTTTCTTTATACAAATTGGTTTTTATTTTACTATGCTAATTAATAGTACCAGGTTCTAAATTTATTTTGTTATTCAAGATTTCACTACCACCTGCTGATAGGTACTGGAATTGCAAGCATTGAAAATCAAGAAATGTTTCTTCTTGACTCCCTTGTTTTGCAAGTCATCTTTAAATGATGCAAATATTAAACTAGCTGTTATCTGGAATTTACCAGCTCATTTATAAAATATAGTGTCCAATATATTGTTTAAATTACGTATGTAAAAATATGTTACAAATGCAGTATTTGAGAAATATCAAATTGCTATTCTTTTTTAGAATTACTGAGTATCGGAGAAAACCAAGAATTAATTCTTGAATTAATTTTCATTGAAGAGAGAAAAACTAAGAAAAGAAAATTTTGATCTTTTAATTTTAAGCTAAATGATAAGAAGAATGATTTTTCTTCATCAGCATGTGTACTTTTTTCTTCATTAATGTATTCAACAAAAAGAGACTAACTGTTTAACAGTTTTTGATATCATGTTTAAAACCTGGGTAGGTTGAAACTACTAGATTAAAAATGTCTACAGTATTAACATGATATAAACATGTCACAGAATTCCATCTGAAATAGGGTGCAAATGAATCAATTTAGTTTGTGATGCTCCTTTCGTTTTAATTTCATGTACAAATATGAAAGAATATGAAAAAGAACTCAATATGAAAAAGAACTCAATGTTCTTTGAAACTTTTTAGCAGGTGTTTTATAAATGTTCCAAATGGTTTGCTCAAATGATGTATTTACTTGAACAAGAAATACTTTTTAAATGAATTCCTTTTTTTTTAAAATATGGAACTATGGAGTATTTTAGTCAATTAATTATAAATAACACTGTATTATAACATTAGGTAAGGTACACATGTGAATCACTGAAAATCAACATTTGTATATATTATATTAAGTTCACCAAAAACTGCGGAGTCTTTTTTAAAGAAATGGCAACAATCTTCAATGCTTTTGTGGAGAATTCTAAAACTCAAGAATATTTGTCAAAACCTCAGAGGTGTAACTGATCAACAGACAATTCTGTAAGGCAAGTAGGTAATGAGTTTGAGTAGCTGGATTGATAGTAGGATTCTGTCGCTGAGATTGGAAAGAATCTCAGACCACCCCTGGGGGACTTCTATATGTAAAGAGCAATACCTATCAACTTCCTGGAGCTCAGCGTGAGTAGTCAAGATAGTTCTTATTACATAAACACTTAAGTCTTAATTAGGAACTAAAAATGATTTGATCACTTTTTCTCCTCAACATGCTGCTCTTTCACCAAGGGCGACTGAGCGGTATGCCATAGGCTCCTTTAGGCTCCCTAAGCTGTCGTGAAGATGGTTTCATTTGCTACTAGGACATCCAAGGGCAAAATTCTGCTAGACAGCCAAAAACCAGCTAATAGAAACGTGTCAGGTCTAGGATAGTTTTAAATAGTCTTAATTTCCAATAACACAATTGGGGGAGTATTGAGAGAGAATTTACATGAGCATGTTGATAACATGCCAACATTCTTTTACGTGTTTGGGGGAGCCATGAAACTTTTAAAAATCCTAAAAAGTTGTCTTGTAAAGTTAAGCAGAATAATTGAATGCAGGTGGAAAAACCTATAAAAATAAAATCTAAATAAAAAATATGAAGTAATTGAACATATGTCATAGCAATAAAAACTATAAAAATTATATTTCAAAATTTTGGGGAAAATTTCAGAACACTGTATATAATACAGTGACAGTGGGTCTGCATTGAAGCTTAAATTATGTATCCACTCCTTTACATAGATTTCTTCCAAATTCCTGGAATGCGTTATAATAGCATTTTATTTACATTTTTGACTTTTTCTTAAGTTCCCTCAATTTATAAACATTAGAGTCTACAGATCTTTAACTAACCATTAAGTGTAGGGATGAAAGTTTTGGATTCAGTATCACTTTATGTGTTTAATGTCAGTTATAACTCTTAATTAGTGATAAATTTGAGTAAGATATTTAATGTTTCTGTTAACGTCAGTTTCTACATCTGTTAAAGGAGATAGTAATGATACCTCAACCAGAGTTGTTTGATGAATAAATGCGGCTTTGATATAACATATGTTCTACACATGTTAAATAATCTTAGTTATTGTCATATTGTGAACATCTATGGACATCTTTGTTTAATGAATTTAGCTTTCTCTTGAACTAACAATTGACTTGTTTAATTTGAAAGATTAAATTTTTAGCTTATAAATTGAATTATTTGTGTGCATAATCCCAATGGTATCAGGATTAACTTAAAAGCTGTAATTTCTACTAGAAAATTACATTGGTTCTTATACTAGTTCAAACTTCTGAGAATTTGTTTTTCTCATTGCTTAATTTTTTTGAATCAAGAGAAATTCCAAAGTGTTGTTAACTCATTATGTGACAGCTTCCTTACAATGAACTATCATTAAATGGTTTTATTATTTTAAAATGGATTTACACTCTTGATCAGAATTAGAATGATGATGTTCAGCCTTCTATCTTATTAAAATGAAGACCTAGATGCAGATTGGTATATAGTCACTTTAGATAGATATATAATTTTCTGTAATTTTTCAACGTTGTATAGCCTTTCAGTTTATATGCCTCAGTTATGTTTAATTTTACAATAACTGGATACTTTTTTGTTGTGAATTATTTTTAATGCTATTGGATATACCTGAAAAGTAAATATGTGCAAGTTATGCTGGAATTAGAAGGACCAATATCCAAAAATAATAACTATCAATTAAATCATTGGTTGATATAGTCTGCCCATTTGGCAGCTGGTATAACTTAACATTGTATCTTTTTCTTTCAGAATTTTATTTTGTTAAATAATTCCAATATCCAGCATGTAATAAAATATGTTTGCATTTTTGTTTCTGTGGTGATTTACACTGCCCAAATTAGGAGACAATATGTATCTGTTCACATTCAACAATCTCTTTAAAATTTTCATTTTTATTAAAGAAATTGTTCAGGTCTGGAGGTTTTCTCTACTAGTCTTTTTATCACCATCAATTACTAGACAGTGTTAACTTGGTAACTTCATTTTTTGCTTTCTAAGTCTGTTTGGACACTGGAAACATCAATAAAACTTGATTTCCTCCTTTACCACCTACCAAAGGAAATTTAAAGAAGAAAGTTTTAGACTGAGGCTAAAAAGAAACATTAAATTGGGAGTTTGTTTTTTTTTTACATAATTATGTATCTATCTCTACTATTTCCTTATCACAGTATAATTATTTTCTTCATTGAAAAAAATAGGAACCAGTGGGCATATCAAACGGATTTAACATAACAATTAGTTGCTTACAAAGTCCTTGGAATAGCTAGTGAGAAGTTAGGTCCTCTACTAGAATTGATGGGTTCTAGAATAGACCCAGGCTGTGAGATCTGCAGTTCAAACAGCCTTGATGCTACTGTGTTGTAATTTCCTCATCACCCTGAAGCTGGAATTCAGGCTGTCACAGCTCCTTCTCCCTCACACCTCCTCATCTTGCTGTCCAACAGAAGTATATCACCTCTGCCTCACCCCTGCTTTCTAAATCTCTTCGTGCATCTAATTGGTGGAATGTAATCTATATAGGGAATCTTGGTTAAAGAAAAAACAGTTAAGTGATTTAAAGCTTTTACGCAATGGACAATATACTAAGTGATTGTACTAATACACATATTCAATAATTAACTGTTATTTTAGATGAAATTAAAGGAAAATGCACAAAAAAGCATAGCTTAATGAAATGTAAGGCAAACAGCAGTATAACTACATCTTGGATCACAAGATACAACTTTGCCAGTCACCAGCAAAGCTCTCACCTGAGTCTCAACCCTCTCCTTCCAAAATGAAGTGCTGCCCTAAATTTCATTGTATTTTTTTTCTTTTTGCATTTTTTACAGTCTCTTGTGACATG